GATTGTCTTTCCATTGAATTTCTTTAATTCCTTGGTGTCACATAAAGGAAGGAGACGCGCAGAAACAATAAAGGACGGTCATCCCACTCGAAATTAAACTCACTTTCTTTTGGAACGGGGAATTTCAAAACGGTTATTCCATTTGTTAGCTCAACGGGCGGACAGGATGGCCTTTCGAAATGGGTTAAACACCGCGCTTTTTCCTCGCCTTTCTATTAAGCCCCACTTTTTCATCCCAACTAACTAGGCTGGTTTTACCACCGCTTTCCCCGTCAAGCCAACTGAAATTGCTCAAAAAAGCGTAAGCCATTTTCTGGAGCAAAACGAATTGCTCAAAATTAAGCAAAAAAACTGCTTGAATGTTTCATTTAAATTTCGCTCCATTTGCGCAAAAATCCATACCAATAAACACTGAGGTAACATGAATCCTCCAATCTAAGCAAGCAGCAGGCACATGAGTGCTCTGGTTTACACAGTAAAAGAATATTTTGTGACGGCAAACACCTGATGGTTTTCCAAAGAAATGCGCATTGCAAAAAGTTAAAAGCTTCAATTTGAGCCGCTAGTGATTTGGATTGGGTGGCACTCAAGATGTCATGTCGATTACGTTAAGGCCGGATAATGTATGTTGGCAAAAATGTATGATTTTCATGTGGGCAGCAGGTGGTGTTAGTTTTTTTCAATCATCCGGCATATTGGTGAATTTAAAAAATATGTTTTCAAGCTTGAGAACAAAGCAACCTAGTTATTTTTCTCGATAAACTAACTTGAAAAATAGACAATTGTAATCAGAACGACAACAATTTAGAAAACATTTAGGCTTTTGGGCCTAGACGGAAAAAACATTTCCTGACGTTTTGCAAGCACGAGTGACTCGCATCTTCAGAGGTGGTCGCTGCCCAGCAGACAGAAATGATTTTCCAGCTACGCCTAACAGCCCCATAAACCCCAACTTCTGGACATTATTTTTCGATATGGAAAAAATCGCTCCTAAAGATTTTGCTCAATGAAAAAACGGCCTCTAACGATTCGCCATTTAGCCATTTAGCAGAAATGAGGCCTCCTTAGGAAGATTGCCGTCTCAGGAACTTTTCCAGTAATTTGTTACAAAAATGAGCTTCTCGCTTGACTTCTTTCGGTGGCAAGTATAGGCCTCAATTAGGATCGTGGATTTTTACTTTAATTATCAAATTTGTCTGCAAGTCTTGCCGCATGAAAGTATAGGTACAGAAAGTTTTACGGCTGAGCAAAAAATTCAAGAAAATCAGCTTGCACAGATATACATATTTTGGGATGAGGTTTTTGACTTCTAATCATCCCTCTAACGGGAAAATGCATATAAAGCACCCTTGAGTGCATTCGGACAAGTTTCAGCGCTACTATTTCGTCGGTGATTTTTGCCTAATTTTCCAGAAAACACTTGAACATTGGTTGAAAAATCCCCGTTTTATATCCAGCTGTGATTTGTGATCGTTTTTTGTACGTTGTGGTGTTTTGTGATCGTTCTATTTAAGTACGAAGCCTGCTTATGTGCAACTGTTGCCTACTAACATGTGGAACTAACTATTGGAAAATGTATTTGCTTTATTCCGGTGCTTTCACTAACCCAACTAACACGACCAATGTTTGGGACTTTCAAGACTGTTTTGCGTCCAAATTTTCATATACAGGGTGTTTTGTGAATGTTTCAATGAAGAAAAATGTCAAGTTTTTTATGAACACCCTGTAATTTAGAAGCGAAGCATTTTCATTTCTTCATCCACTTTCCTGCCTTTTCTGAATTGAATCCTATTGAACAGTGAAATTAAGCTACTCCATACTATGCTGGAAAACCGAAAGCTTCCACAGAGTCAAGTGAAAAAATCGCTTTTTTGCTATTTCGGTTCTATCGGTGGCAAAATTTGCAGAAGACTGTAACAACCAATCGGCGCCGAGATTTACCAACTATTTCAACAAAAACATTGTAAATCATCCGCTTTTAAAAAGACAATAAAACCTGCAGATCTAGAAAATTTGATTCAAATCGCTTGGTTCATGCGAACCTTTGCCAAACTTTTTAAAGCTCAAAAAATGGCTTTTTGCCCAAAAGTGGCTGTTACAGTCTTCCCCCAACTAATCAACAGTGTGATCTCAAAGAACCATGTCTTTTCTTGCAGCCCCATACTTGGCATAGCAGATTTCAAACTAGTGGACTACTTTGATGGATCGAAAGTGCCAGCCTGTCACACATTGGCAAACACCTTTTGGTCCGCCCTGTATTTCATCGGCAGTATTTTCCTATTTTTCATTGTTCCTCTTATCGTGCTGATTGTGTTGTACTGCATTATCGCTAAGAATCTTATTTATAATGCCGCTAGTTTAGTGCTGAACAAGCATATTGATAATTATGCGATGCGCGCCAGGAGGCAAGTGATTCTGATGCTTGGCACGGTGGTTCTGAGCTTCTTCTTGTGTCTGATACCGTTTCGCGTGTTTACGCTGTGGATAATTATTGTGCCGGAAGAAAGCGTGTATAATTTGGGCATGGAACGGTACTACAATATATTGTATTTCTGTCGAATTATGGTGTATCTGAATTCGGCGATCAACCCGATTTTGTACAATCTGATGAGCTCAAAGTTCCGCACAGGATTCGTCATTTGCTCAGAAACGCGTCGAAGACTTTTTGCGAGAAATAGCCACAGTAGTGGACAACATTCCAGCACCAGAAGCAGCACTTTGCGTACCAGTCACGAAGGCTACAGAGTTTGCTACAAACCCAAAACCTGTTCGGTACTAATCAAAACCTCGAACGACTCAATTGAAACGAAAAGTCTGAACTCAGAAAGGGATAATGGAGGCCATTCGAAGATGGGCAGAGTGAGCGTGAACATTTTCACGGAAAAAGTCATTATTTGCCATAATAGAAGAGGCCATAATTCGAAAAAGTGCCCGGATAGGAAACCTTGCAGGGATAATGGTAACAGTGAGGACATGAAGGAGAAGTTTGCCAAGAGGAATGGAAAACTTGAAGAGGAAACCTTCGTTTGAATGTTTTTCTGTTTACATTGGATGGATCGGCTTATTTACATGGAAGTTCTTTCAGTCGGCTTACTGTGCTTTTAAAGAAACCGATTCCGATTAAGCGAATTATTTATCTGGGAGCAATTCCCGTGAGGATCGATTTTGACTCGATTTTTCTTATAAAATGTGCCAATTCTGGGCGTTTAAAAGGGTTTGAATATTTATGAGTTTTAAACGTAAATAGTTCATACAGAGATCTACACTAGGCATTCATAAGGGAAAAGATCAGATTTTAACTTAATATTACTAGAATATTTATATTAGCGTCTGCTACAGTGAAGCGGTGTCTTTGTAAGAATCAACCAAAGATGAAATCAAAGCTTTTCTATAATAAATATTTGTAAGTCCAAGTTTGCATAACTGTTTTAATGCTTTCCCTCCTATTCCATTTTGTTCGGTCGTTCAGTCCAGGATTTGACTGCGAGGAAGCTTGTAAGACAACCAGATTAATTAAAAGTGGAATTTATTCCATTCTGAATTGAATTGAATCTTAAATTCCCCAAAGTTGCAGTTATTTGACATCTCAGACATTTAAACTCACGTTACAGAAGACAAGCAGAAAAATCGAATTTTAAATAGTGAGCGTTTGAAACTGATGAGTTCTTCAGGTTTTTAGGTCGTGGTTGTATGGAATTTCTTCCTGACGTTTCGCACACACAATTGGTTGGCATCTTCAGAGTGAACCACCTCTGAAGATGTCAGCCACTCGTTCCTTCGAAACCTGGAAAACATTATTTTTCACCTGGGCCTAAAAGCGGGAAAAGTAGGAGAACAAAAAGTAACTAAACTTGTGTAATTTTTTAAAATTAATTCCATTCCACGACGGTCTAAAAGCCTGAAAAACATCAGTTTCGGAATGTTTCGGGTTACCGAAAACTGGAGTTTTCCAGCTTCGCTAGCACAAGCATCTTCAGAGGTGATTTGCTCAACATAGCAACACTCTGAAGATGCAAGCCATTGGTGCTTGCGAAACGTTTAGAAGGTAGTTCTCCACTCCGACCTAAAAACCAGAAAAGCTCCCCAATTTCTGAATTCCAAGTAATGGAAAAAATCACTTTTAAAAATTTCGAAAGCTCTGAAAAACTGCCAAAAACGTCTTCTCCTTTTCAGGCTTTTAGCCCGAAAAACGCATCAGATTTAACACGTTTCGGGCAGGTTTTTTAGAGAAGACAAAGTATCAAAATTTTTTGCACTTTTTTTGAAATAATTCCATTCCAGAACGGTCTAAAAGCGTGAAACACTCATCAGTTTTAGAACATTTTTGGGTACCTAAAACTGGAGTTTTTGAGCTTTTAGGTCGTCGGAAATGGATTTTTATGTTGAGGCTTCGCCAGCACAAGCTATTGGCATCTTCAGAGGTGGTTTGCACAACGTCGCCCCTCTCTGAAGATGACAGCCACTCGTGCTGGCAAAACGTCGGGAAGAAATTCAATCAAAAACCACCAGTTTCATAAAATCTTTAGAAAAAAACAAAATACCTATGATTGATTGACTTAAATGGTAAATATCGCTATTGAAACCCCAAAACGAGCCTCCAAGATGCCATAAAATTCACATAGAAACCACCAACACAAATTCCAACAATTTGAAACTCAGAGAATCACACTGTTCACCACACCAAGAAATAACCCAACCCATATAATATGTAAGTACCTACAGCTCATGTTTACAAAATTGCATGAATCTAATATAGGGCCTAACACACATTATCTAAAATCAGCACCTTAAAAGTGATGTTTATGAACTCGCAAAACTTCGTAGCATGCTTACCGACCTGTAACGAATCTAATTAAAACTTTTGTCCCCAACTTAAGAGGGGCGCCGCCAAGCTGAAACACTAGTAAAACCCATAAGGCGACAGCACAATAACATTATTTACAATTAAGAGTTCTACGGGGAGGTTTTTGGAAAAGTTGGCTTGATTTTTTGTGTTCCAGTCCGATCCTTGCCATCACCCAGTATGAATCCGACAGCTACTTCGACGGTTCCCTGATCTTTGTCTGCTTCAGTATGGCCGTTGACTTAATGCCCTGTATATTTTTCGTCGGTTCCATCATAGTTTTTTTCATTATTCCTCTAGCTATATTGATATGCGTCTATGCATTGATTGCCCGAACACTCATGTCGCATCCTTCACAACTGGTAAGTTTGTTAGTGTTAATTTGAGTAATTCTGGCAAAGTGGCCCTTCCAGGTCTCCCTTCAAACGAAAAGCGTATCCGTGCCAAGCCAAAGCGTAATAAAGTACAGGAAGCAAGTGATGTTGATGTTGGCCACTGTGGTCACAGCTTTTTTCATCTGCCTATCCCCGTTTCGAGCTCTGACCCTTTGGATCATCTTCAGCCCGCCTGGATCCAACTTCCGTATGGGCAAGTAGTGAAAGCACGTACCAAATCCACGTTATTGGCAACAGATTTGCTTCCAGGCCTTGACAACTACTACAAAATCCTGTACTTTTCCCGCATTATGTTCTTTATCAACTCAGCAGTGAACCCCATACTGTACAATATCATGAGCTCCAAGTTTCGAGGAGGGTTTTCCAGACTGTGCGGCATGAGGAAGCTGAAGCGACAGTTCCAGAACACCGGAATTATTCGGTAATTTTTTTCTAAACCCACTTCAATTGGGGGCTAATTTGCAATGGGATTAGGAGAAGCACCACCAGCTCGACCAGCCCCAGCACCCAGCCAACATCGGACAGCGGCGTGAGAAGCGGACGCAACCAATCAAGGTACAGATGAAATTAGAAAAATTATCGTCGTTTTGTGCAAGGGTGGCGCAAGATTATTGCAAAATTTCATGTTTTCCGTCCCGTTTTGCATGTTTCTCACAGAACGCTCATTTGTACATCATTCTAGACAGAAATAAATGACCTTTTTAGTTTGCAAAATCCACTTGAACATGACGCTGCTTTTTTCGAAGTTTCTCAAGAACCATTCGAGTCACAGAATTCGTGTGCCTAGGCAGCGATTTTCCGAAAAAATATTAATTACGCACTATTGCAGATATTCGAGCAGTTTGAAGAAGCTGAAGGAAAACCCCAAAGAAGAGGCGCTATCGGAGGAACAAGCAAAAAGGCCCACGTTGGCCCGAAACGTCTATATAAAGGCGCCCCTGCAAATTGTCAGCGGAACGAGTGGACAGAAAATTAATCCAGGGGCCGAAATCTACGTTTAAGCTCTGAGAAGTTTCGAATGCGTAATAAGTCTAGCAAGTGTCTTTATTAAGTAACATTCAATTTACTACAGGGTAAGGCTTTATGTAATTACTTGATAAGCGAGGAGTTGTGCGATGCAGCGTACGATGCAGAAAAGTGTTGCTGAGGACAAATTACTAAGTAGAAGGAAACAGACCTGATTGCAATCCATCAATAGGAAGCACACAGTCTAACACAATCAATAGGGAAAAGAAGAGTCAGATCTCAAGAAGTACATATTCTCTTTGTCCACCTTTGCAAGAAAGTGGGACCCGGACCAAGCAAATTTACCCAACAATCAACCTAAAGGTTTTTATTGCAAAAAGCATTGAAACTTTTCAAATACACTTAAAACAAGCCGCCACTGCTGACCGCGGTAGCATTTAGAAAAAGGCGCTTACCTACTATTTGACTGCCTGTTTCTACGTAGTCCATCCATCCTCAAAGCAGTGAAGAAAACTCCCAAACATGTAATTTAGAGGATTGAGCTGAGTCCTGGAGCTCATGTCAAAATGGAGAGCTAGACGTCACAACTTCTTCCAATTGAAAATTCGATTTTTTTTGTTAAAATCACGCTTTTGGCCGCAAATAATACTACAAAACGTTTAAGCAAACTCTCCTATTTGAGAAAATCGCCAGTTTTTGGCTTACAATTGAAAAAAAACCCGAAAAGTTCCGATTTTCAACGCAGAAGATCGCCCACTCTCAACTCTGCTCATTCGGCAAAATGTCAATGGAGTTAACATAAATTTGTTAGTATTCATAAAATGTCCTAAATGATACTTTTTATCGATGCTACGACCTAGTATGTGACTGCATGTTTCTAGATAGTTCATCCATCCTCAAATCAGTGCAGAAAACTCCAAATATAGAATTTAACATCCTGGATTATATGCAGCTGATGTCAAGACGGAGAACTAAACGTCAAAAATCCTTCAATTTGAAAAATTGAGTTTTTGTGTTAAAATCGCGCTTCCAGTCGGAAATAATACTACGAAACGTTTAAGCAAACTCTCCTATTTGAGAAAATCACCAGTTTTCCCATTAAAAATTGAAAAAAACCTGAAAACTTTCGATTTTCAACGCATAAGATCGCGCACAGTCACCCACTTTCCACTTGACTCATTCGGCAAAATGTCAACGGAGTTAACATGAAATTGTTAATATTCATAAAACGTCTTTACGCTTGAAATGTCTTAAATTATTTTTTTTAATCGATACCTACGAAGCATCGCACAACCTGTATATATAAATTAGGCAACTAATTCAGTATTATACCGGGTAGTATTGATAAATCCGTACTGTTAAGCCAGACGAGGACTTGATGCATAAATAGGACCAATCTAGAAGACAGTCTCCAAGCAAGCTTTAATTCCGATGGTGATTTTAATATTAAAGAATAATAGTTGACAATAATGAAACTATACACTGCCAGGAACGCTTCATAAAAGAACAATTTCTAATAAAACTAAAATACTTTAGGATAGAACAATTTTAATTAATATAAGTGGTAGGACATGACTTCAATTTCATGTCGCCTCAGAAAGCTATACAAAGACATCGAGATTCTAGTCAATTTTTCTAAAAAAATAACTCAATAATTGTTCATTTTTTATACACCGCTAACTGGACTTTAAATGTTCAATTTAAGGAATATATATTGATACTATTAGTCCAGTTGTTTTTTCCCCATCTACCTTTTGAATAGCTGCAAAAACACCAATCTTGCACTTTTTATACACAATTACCGCAATTGATCAGGCCCCTAAGCGTGGATGTCACATCTTCCAAATACTTATATATTGACGGGGAAAACTTCATTCTCTGAAGGTTTGTTTGTCAATAAACCCATAGAATTAATTCACTGAAAAACGCGAGAATAGTTTCTGAAAATAATACGCTATAATATGTTGGAACCCGCCAAAGTGATTCTAGAAATTGAGAAAACCTGCAGAACTTGCCTGACCGAGAAAACAGCGGAAGAATTAACTTCCATATGGAACAATAATGTAAATTCAAGTATTCGCGATGTGTTCAGTATTGAAGTAAGTGAATTGGTTATTTTAGGTCATTTTGCAGTGTATTAGGCCCTAGCGTTTGAAGAATAGTGTACACTATGCTCACCTGATAGAAAACCCTTTCCTTAACAGCTTTTCTTCTTAGTGGTGTTTGTGATGGAAATGGGGTTTCCATCACTTTTCACTCATTAAAAAATTCACTACTTCTTCCTAAGGCTAATCAAACGCATTCCAGCTCAAGGCTAATCCAATCCTCCCCAGCCACATATGCGTCGATTGCTTAAAAACCCTGAATATAGCAAGGGACTTTCAAAAGCGAGTCCGTGATGCGGAATTTCAACTAAAAAACCTAATCGTTGATGAGGAATCCAACCAGGTCACCGTGGTTTATAATGCAAATGCGGTCCCCGAAAGTTATGTGGGCGCTTTAAAGATCTATATTAAACCACCGCAATCTTCTGAAAGAATTCTAATTGTGGAAAATCTTAACATCGATGTGCAGGTAAATAAACCGTTTTAATCGCCTCTTTAAACCTAGGATGGAAGTCTACGTATTTGTACTCAATTTATTTATATGGGACAACCCTTGGCTCTAAAAAAAGGCTAATTTTCTTCAGAACCCTAAACACGAGGCCTTAAAAAGTGGATCAAGCGCGCTATTTGAACACTCAGAAGAAATTTGCGAGGTACAAACTGAAGATGCCACTGGAAACAGCAAAGAAGCTGACAATAAATGGAAGAGCACGACTTTGTCTTTGACCGACAACCCAATAGAAGCTACCCATGGAGGAAACTCTAGAAACACAGATATGAAAATTGTCCAGCCATTGAAAGACGCAAACTTCAGCTGCGATTTGTGTTCGAAAACATTCAGGTTTGAGTTCACCTACAAGCAGCATCTTCTAAAGCATGGAAGCCGCATGGAATGTGAATCATGCCTGTCGCAATTCGATGGTAACGAAAAAGGGATATTCCGAAAGCAAGTTAAAAACTGCTGATCTTTTAGATGCTACGGCCTATCTTTTCCACGTGAAACGAAACCATCCAGGGTTGAAGCCATTTGGGTGCCCCAGTTGCCCCGAACGGTTTTTCACACTGACCCCATTGAAAGTGCACTTTAATCACCACTCCTCTCAGAAACAACTCAAATGTGATTTATGTGGCAGGAGTTTTTTAAAGCAAAGCTCGCTGATGGTATGTGAATATCGCAGGTGAACTATCGCAAGATGGAAGATTTATCTTCCAGGCGCACCAGAAAAAGCACACCGACCCGGAGTCGTTCAAGTGCAGGGAGTGCAATAAAAAACTCTCGAACCAACACAGCCTCCTAAATCACCTGAAAATACACCAGGGGGACAAAAGACATAAGTGTGAAACGTGTGGTAAGCAAAAGCGGGTTTTTCCAGGTCAGGAGCGTTAATTGGCGGTTGAATAACCAAGGGGCGACTTTTATTCATCGTTTCAGCCTGCGGACGCACTATCGAACGCATACAGGCGAAAAACCATTTCAATGCAAACTGTGCAGCAACAGATTCAAAACCTCATCGTACTTGAAGATTCATATGAGGACTCACACGGCTGAAAAACCATACCAGTGCACCATCTGCCCAAAGGTCTGCTTAGGAAACGCACTTTTCCGCTGTTCTCACTTTGATTTTGCAGAGTTTTGTGTGCAAAAGTGCACTGGCCGCTCACGAAAAAGCCCACACGGGGGAGAAGAAGTTTCAGTGCGATATTTGCGGCTGGCGCTCAGGAAGATCGTCGGATTTACAGATCCATTTGAGGAAGCACTCTGGTAAGACTTTTTACTGGAACCTTTCAGTGATTATAACGCAAATAATTCGTAGGAGAAAAACCCTACAAGTGCGAGCTGTGTAACAAACGCTACAAGACAACAAGCCACTTGGCCGCCCATCGCAAGACGCATTCGGGGCTGAAAGAACACGTTTGCGGTATTTGCAGGAAAGCCTTTGGAGACCCTCGCACGTTGAAGAGCCACATTCGGGTCCATACAGGAGAGACGCCCTATATGTGCCACGAGTGCGGCCGCCGGTACTTTTTTCCATTTTCGACTAAAACTCTGTTAAAAAATGGGTTTGCAGATTTAAACAATCGGGCCAGCTGTCCAGCCATCGCAAAATACACCAAAATCGAGCCGCTATCAAACAAAGCATTATTTAAAATCGAAACGGAACGAAGGAGATTTGTGGATAGTCCAGATTCTATGTAAATACAGTGGAACTAGATTATGGTGTTATTAATTGAAACACAGCGGTGTGAATCACATTCTTTAATCGAAGTGTAAATTGAGCAGCCTGCTTAAAAATCAGAGAATATTGTCCATTGACTAAAATACGCTCACCTAAGAACACATTAGCCTACCTTATAATAAATAAAATTAGCGCTATTTTACGAGCTGTTGATCAGCTGTCTACCTGGAATTTAATTAATGCATTATCAAGTTTGTTGAAAACGCGATTAACGACCGCATAAGTTCTATAGTAATTAATTGACTTTGTCATGAATAAAACCCATTTTAGTCCCATCATAACTAATACTAAGAACGCCGTTTGTACACCATATGCAGAAAAACATGTAAACAGACTTAAATCATCAGGTCACAACCTTTAAATTGATTTTTTTAGATCTCAAGACTCAACAAGTGAAAGTAAAATTCGAAGTTGTTCGCTTTTTAAATTACCAAGATTGTCTAATCTTTGGTCTTATCAAAGGTACATGTGAGGCAAGTCTGACACGAGTTAATTAAACTATAAAATCATTATGACTAGTTTTATATTCGATTGTTTCGCTTAAATAAAGTATATTTATTGCACTAGAACGTAATTGTCCGTGTTGGTGTGATTTTTATGTGATTTTTTTAGCGTGAAAGTGGCAAGATTTTTTAAAATCTGAATCTCATTAATCCTCGATTCCCTACTGTGTGAAATTTGTACTGTTTGAGCTGTTGATGTTAACAATATCATCAAAAAAAAACACTTCTCAAAAAAATTGCGAATAAACACCATGCGGAACTTAGCTAATGTTAACACCTTCATGGACTAGAAAAAAGAGCAGAAACATTCGCCGTAGAGTGGCAAAAAATGGGCTAAATTTCAGTGTAGTTTCACTATTTAAACCCGGCATGCGCCAGGAATTTGGCCGAATTGTACCTACTATCCTACTAAAAAGGCACGTTGAAGAATAACCCTAATCGGAGTGGATTTTTATAAGTCGCCTGCCCAGAGACGGTTTCCTACCAAATGTGCAAAAAGCTTCAAGTCGCTAGACCTATTCGCTATGTACAAATGACCAAAGTGCATTTAGCAAACGGAAAAAATAGCCTTAAAAGTGTGCATAAACGCACTTTGGTTTAACCGTCTACACCTAATCTACTCAGCTTTAACAGTCTTTTGGGGGGCAGCTTTAATGCTCTTGTTCTTATTGTTAATAAACGATTGATAGTAGAAGTTCAAGAAGAGAGCGAAAAATATCGTGGAGTTGCAGATCATGGCGACGCCCATAAGCCGCGGGTAGCCACAATCGTTGTAGAACAGCAGGGAAGCGTGAGCGAAGACAATCATGAATTGCGCCTGGAATTTATCGGGAAAACTCACTATTTGGTTTTTTGCACACATTTGATGGCTTACCAGTTGTAGAGTGGTCAAGTGCTTCTTCCACCAGAGGTACTTTTGGTATTCCGGCCCCAAAGCGGCCACCATATAGTAGAAGTACAGAATTGCGTGAACGAAGTTGTTGATCAAGTTTTGCAAAGTTCCATGGCCCCCTGAAACAGGAAATACTATTGGAGGAATAATATGCAAAGCGCAAATGTGTTAATCTCTCGTTAATGATGTGGCTGTTTTGCTGGACGCTGAACAAGTTATGCTAAACACTTAGGTTCAATTAACTTTAGTTCAAAAGGGGAAATGTTGGCAGTTTTCTCAAAACAGTGCTTGAATTCAAGAAGTTTTAGATTTGCGTGGTTTTTTTTTTGAGTTGCAAAATCGACTCAAACATGACGCTGCTTTTTTCGAAGTTTCTCAAGAACCATTCGAGCCACAGAGTTCGTTTTGGCATCGTTGGATAGAGAATTGAATGGGGGGGTCATTAAAAGTCCAAAAAGGGCAATATTGAGCCCTTGGTAGAGCTTAAATAGGTTCAGTTCAACTAATCGCGCGGAGCGTTCTAATGAATAATCTAAAGTTCTGTCGGACAACGAACAAAATCTCAATAAGGCCAGATGAATTTTGTATACCTGTACGTACGTAAGGTAATTATCTAGGCTTGTACTTTCTAACAAGTTTTGCAATAACCGCGTAGTTTGTATATGGATTTTTTAATGTAAATGGCAAGCGCGCTACTTGGCCTATCCTTTCTCGCATTTCGCTTTAACTCGGGTCTGGTTCGGGCTTTATTGCTACCGTGTTAACGTTTACGATATTTAATGGAAAACCATACAAAAATGCAATTTACTATGGCGGAACAGTTGGTGTATTCAATATTTCTCTGCAGATTTAAATTTTATCAGCTGTTATAAGTCTTCATAAAATGCTAACGCATTTTTACCAACGAAGCTTTGCTAGCGATTAGGAATTTGCACTCTGCAAAGTGTAGATCCTTTGCCTTTACGGGTTCTTTATTGGGTCCACTGGCTGTAGGGTGTAGATTATTCGCTTTCCACTTGCTAACCCGGGAAAACTGAAAATATACATTCGACATACAACATATCCCTAATCGGCACCAAATCACATTCCATGTGCCAAGACAGAATTGATCAGCTGTTGGATTTTCGCAACACGAATTCCTTCGACAGAATTTCCACATTCTCAGCCGGTTTTGCCATGGAAAAGTCGTTTCTTTCACCCACCATAAACGCGTATTGATGTCTGTGTTTCAGGTGCAGTAACTCACTTAAATTTCAAATTTATATGATTTTATCAGTTCATCCTTTACAAAGAACTTTATCAGGCGATGGACGATCCCTCAGATTAACAATGACTGTGTTCTTTTTGTTCATTAATTTCCTTTGGCGGTTGAGCTCCACTCTCCCTTTTTCCATTCAATTTTCTGGAGCTCTGACTTCTTCTGCTTCCATTTAAGGGACTCTAGGAGAGAAGCCAAAGTTTCCACTCTTCCACTTCTTCAAACCGGTCCTTGGTGTCGTTTTGCAAGAATATTGCAGCAATTTGCATCAGCTTCAATCATAACTTGTGAAATGCGTCTTTTCTTCAGCTACACGTGCGCTCGCATTTGCAAAACCTCCACAAAAGCCCTGACATAGTAAATTAACACGTCCGAAATTTCGGAAACATTTATATGTATTTGAACAGACGGATCTTGAACGAAGGTCGATAACTTCGAAGCCGAACCGATTACCAAACTACTAATCAGGGTAATAATGAGGCAATTTTAGGAGGCAAATTTAGGAGGGAATGGGTTGGAATGCGACCAAACTCCAAAGATGGGGAAGACGACTTACCAGCAATAAATTTCACCAGAAACCAGGTCTCCAAGGGGGTCAAGCTGTGGTGGTAAACATGGAGGAAAGTTATTTGACTGTCCTTTTTCCGCATGACGAAGAACACGGTGTCGGCAAATTCAGTCAGCTTTGATACGTAGTAAATCCAGCAGAGTCTGGCCATCTATAAACGAAAAAACTCAATTTTGGGGCAATTTGAGCTTTGTTTAACTCACCCTCATGGCTCTGTCGTTGGTGGAGTAATCCACTGGCTGGCATTTGTAGCTGTAGTCCAAGAACCAACCGCTGGCAAAGTGCTGGAAAATAAAATAAAATCTATAAAAATCGACTGAAGCCTTTTGCTGAACTTCATGCGATGGACTTTCATTAATAGTCAGAATGCTTAGAATCAAGAAATGTTAGAGTGATTGATCGCGAAGAAGAACGCATCAGAGCCATAATTATCTGGGTTTTCTCTTATATGAAACCCGGCAGATATTGGTTAATAGCGTAACATGTTTCATTCAAATGGTATGAAGGTCAGGTTGAATTATTTTGCGGCCAGTGAACCTCAAAGACCGTCTTAGTGTAAGTCTTAGTGTAGCCTTTAGATGTGAACATCGTTCTTAATAAATGCCTTGTTTACGATGAGAATTCGCAACTTCCAATCTAAAACCGGCAGCAACTTGAAATTCACCCGCCGTATAGACGATACCTGAAGCTGCAAATACTGAAAATTTCATTCAAATCGTAGAAAATCCTGATCTTTGCCAACCCTGTAAAGGTGGGCCAAATGAACAATTCCACTCAAGTGCCCGCTCTTGCTTAAAAATCGGTAGCATCCAATCCAGAGCCGGTAGCAACTTGAAATTCGCTCATTCTATAGAAGATGCTTGTCGCTAACCAGTTTACAAATTTGACTCAAATCGTACAAAATAACGATTTTTCCAACTATGGAAATGGTGGGTCCAAAAAGAACAATTCCACTCAAATGCGCTCTCTTTTTGAAAAATTCGTAAGCTCCAATCCAGAGCAGGTAGCAACTTGAAATTCGCTCACTCTGTAGAAGACAGTTGATGCTAAATATTTAATAAATTTCACTCAAATCGCATAAATTCTGATTTTTTCCGATCATATAAATAATGGCTCAAAAATAAGTAATGCCACTCACCCGCACGCTCTTGTTTAAAAATTCGTAACTTTCAGTGCAGAGCAATTAACAACACTAAATTCACTCGATCTCTAGAATACACTTGAAGCTAAACCCCCTACAACTTTCACTCAAATCATCTAAAACCTTGAGTTTTTCCACCTAATGTAAATGATGGATCAAAAAAGAACAATTCCACTCAAATGCGCGCTCTTTTTGAAAAATTCGTAAGCCCCAATCCCGAGCAGCTAGCAACTTGACATTCGCTCACTCTGTAGAAGACAGTTGATGCTAAATATTTAATAAATTTCACTCAAATCGCATAAATTCTGATTTTTCCCGATCATATAAATGATGGCTCAAAAATAGTAATTCCACTCACGCGCACGCTCTTGTTTAAAAATTCGTAACTTCCAATGCGGAATAATTAACAATATTAAATTTACTGGTTCTCTAGCAGACACTCGACGCTAAAAACGCTGCAACTTTCACTCAAATCATCTAAAACCTTGAGTTTTTCCACCTATGTAAATGATGGATCAAAAAAGAGCAATTTCCCACAAGTGCACGCTCTTTTTTAAAAATTCGTAACTTCCAATCCACAACAAGTAGCACCTTGAAATTTCCTCATCCTATAGACGACATTTGATTCTAAACACCCAATAAATTTCACTCAAATCGTATAAATACTGATTTTTCCCGATCATATCGAAGGGTCAAAAATAGTAATTCCACTCACGCGCACGCTATTGGAACAACTTCAGTAAAGTGCACGCTCTTTTTAAAAAATTTGTAACTTCCAATCCAGTGCAGGTAGCAACTTGAAATTGCCTCACCCTATAGGCAACATGTGATGCTAAACACCCAATAAATTTCACTTAAATCGTATAAGATTCTGATTTTTCCCAATCATATGAATGATGAAGTTATATATCAAACTGAAAATGCTTGATCGGAGCCGCCAGAAGTTTCAGAGATGAAGACTTTGAGATGTGTCAATCGCAGGCACCCCAAGAGGAGTTTCGAGCCTTTTGGCTCTCATCAGCTGAGTTGAAACCGGTCCAGGGGTGCCTGCGATTAGCAGATCTTGAAATGTCTACCTACTTCCAGTATGCGAAGTATGCAAAACTTAAAATTGAGGCAGAATTGTAGGAAAAAATGTACCATTCAAGACCAAGAGTCAAAATATCGACCAGGCTAGTGAATAAATGCATGGTTTCGATAAACCCACAAAGAATAGGCTCCCGTACTATAGCGAATAGCAGGTACCATTATGAGCCTACCGCATCAAGCACTATGGTATGGCAGAAAATCTTGCCCACTTTCTCTACCAAGGACGTTCATTTGCCCCCACAAGGCCAGAAGACATTACATAAAAGTCCATAAGGAAGCACATCGAAAGTAGGTTTTCGCGTTTTATCACTGTCTATGTCAAGGTGAATGAGAAATTCAAAGAGAAAGTGCTACTTGGAGATGATTCGCTGGGGGATTTCGTCGTTGCATGGGCGCATAAGAGTAATTACTCTCTTATATCACAGAGTCAGTGTCAAGGTTACTATCATTGGCTCGGTTGAATGAGGGAAAGCTTTCTTCGGCTTAATATTTATGAGGTGCAGCCGCACCACTGCTGAATTCATTATGAGACTCTTTCCTTCTTCTTGTTGTTGTACTTCTCCTATCGGAGGGGATGTTGGTGGAGCCGAACGAATCCCTCAGATTTTTGAGCCCTGAGAGGCTCCGTAACACACATTTTAGGTTCCACCATCTCAACTCGCAAATAGTTTTTTTCATTTTTATGAAAATTATCTTTTTTATGGTCTCCTGTATCCATTCCTTTGCAGATTGATTGCATTGATTTTAGCAATTAATTGCAATAAATGCAGTAAACGTTGAACCAAAAAAACCGTGGAACAGGAAAACTAGCAAGTGTTCGCAGCGTACAAGCAGTAGTAATAAGCCATTAAACCACTTTCCTGGGCAGATATTAAACGTGCTTTTTTTCCTAAATTATTTAATAAAGCGGTCAAAGATCAGCTACGTGGCCATTCAAGGAAACTCATAATTATGGTTGTTCACCTTCAGACTCTTTGTCGTTTACGCTCGAGCTTTTCGCGTTTTTCCAAATCAACATCACTACTACCTGCGTTCAACTGGGGAAAAACAACTTCTTGTTTTTTTCCCGCTTAATAAGCGGCAATCTGGATCAACGCAATGCATTTGCTGCTTCCGTGAAGGAATTTCTGTAAATTTCCGCAATAAAATGCAAAAAATTGAGAAAATCCAAATTCGTTTTGAGCCACCCTGTATTCTATTAAGGACAATGCAGTAAAACTAGCCTTGGAGCCTCTTAAGTCGTTGAACATGTCATGGTTTTGCCTCTATTTCTGTACTGGAGGAAAATTTCGCCTAAAACCTCTGCATGCTTCTTCTGTCTAATAATAATAAGTCTTCTGTTGTCTATGAAATTAGAAAAATTATCGTCGTTTTGTGCAAGGGTGGCGCAAGATTATTGCAAAATTTCATGTTTTCCG